GTGGAACACCCACCAAACCCCTCCATTTTCATGGGCTTCCCAGTTTATCCCTTCCCAATTTAATTCAGGGATTTTTTTTAATTGGCAACTCTCTGTGAAGCATGAAGCTACCAGGAAGCACTTGGTGGCGGATGTTTCTCCTCCTTCTCCTCAAGCAGGCATCTAGATTTATCTTGAAGCTACAGCTCTACTTTTTCACTTAAGTAGAGCGACAGATGTCTTGCTAGTCCCCTCCCCCCCCCCTCATAAATAAATAAATAAATAAATCCTTCAGCACAAATCCTTAGCACAGTGGTGTGTTGAAGTGAATAGGAGCTGTCTGACCCCAAATGTTAAATGTGGTATTGGCCATAGGATTTCTGTTGTATCGTTTTCATAGATTCCATAGACATTAGGGCTGGAAGGGTCCTTGTGAGATCATTGGGTCCAGCCCCCTAACCAAGAGATTAAATATAATGAAAATATTGACTACCATACAGTAACTCCACAGAGATACTTACACAACCAGGTGATCAAATCCTTTCAAATAGATATAACCCAGATTGTTATCTCAGGTACATCAATGTAAATCCAGGGGTAAATCAGTTTCATAGATATTATAGCCAGAAGGGACCGTCAGATCATCTGGTTTGATCTCCTGTATGTCATAGGCCATGCAAAGCTTATACACGCAGATAATCCAGATGTTAGTCAAACTAAAGAATTCTAGTCTATTTCGTCCATTCAGTTGAAATTAAATGATTTACTCCAAAACCCTGAATTTGGTCCATGAACTGTACAAGGTTAAGAAGGAAATGGATGTAATTTTTTAAAATCCAAACATCATAGTTGCCCTATTTCCCCTATATTGTTTTAAAAGATATTATGGCCAGAGCTTCAGTCGACAAAAAGGCATTATCGTCCCATTGATTTCAATGGAACCACTCAAATTGCTCTCAGCTGAGAATCTGAGTCAGCAATTCATACTATGTAATGCTTAGTTTACATGCTATGCCTGGTATTTTTGTACCAAAGGCAATTGTACTTTTAGTTAAAATACACATCCTTACACTTTTAAGGAAAGGAACAGTAGCAAACAGGAACTTTAACAAAGGGGATCCTTCCAGATAAGTGCCACTAAGGCAAGTGCATATTCTGTTTTACCAGCTCTACACCAGAGGAAAAAGATGAAACATACTGAATGAACTAAAAGTATAGCTCTTAGTATCTTTTGCTGCTGAATGAATTGCCAAAAGTACATGTCCATGGAATAGTATAATTATGTCCTTTATGACTACATTCTGTTCTGATTATGTACGTAGATTTTTAAAGGTCCTCTACCCTTTTAAAACAGAATTTTCCCCCTTATAGTTGTTAATAAGAAAACCTTTAGCTCAAAACTGATGTGAGCAAGGGGTGTCTTTGTGTCTGAGCACTTCCTGTTTTCATTCCATGATCAAATATGTTCTTTGCAGGGCAAATAGGGGAGCACTTGAGGGAGGAAAGCAGAGATGTCTGAGCAGCTAATTGAGTGTACTAAGGACTCCTTGGCATGGAGGAAAAAGAGTTTTCCAAGGCTATGAATAAACTCTCGGCTTGGGTCAGATTTCTTGCTGTTTCTTTTCTTTAACTATCTTTGAAGTCAAATAAAAACAGCCTTAATGTCAGGTTTACCTTTCTGATATCATAATCTTTATGTACTATTGAAAAGCTTATACTACCAGACTAGGATTTCCTTTACTTTCTCAAACACTGGACATTATCCAGAAAAAGCATATACATTTCCAACCAATTCATCCTCAGATCTTTTCATCTTCCTGTACTGTTGTAATTCTAAATGTAAGACAGATCTCAATAACTGAACAAAAATGATAGAAGCTTCTACTCTTTGCATATGATTTCTATCAACAAAACCACGTGTGTGTATCTTACTTCTAATATAATTAAAGTTTCTGCAAAATGGAAAAGGTGACAAGTGAAGAAGAAAAATTTGAAAAAATCTGTAGGATACATTAATTCCATGCCAGAGTTTAAGCACCTGTCTCTCTTCAAAAAGCCACTTAAGCTTCTATGAAGAAACAGCTCAGTTTTTAAAGTCAGTTACCTTAGAGGTTTATAAAATAAACCTGAATATTGCATAAGGAAAAGGTAGCATTATCTTTAAAGAAAAGTAATAAATATAGTTACTTAGAACTGATTTATCTTCCCCTTAAATTTGGCAGCCTAAAGGAATCTGTGAGCTTAGTCAGAACTGTTAGAGATGGACTGAAACTGCTTCTTTTTCCAGGAAAACCAGAGGTTAATGATTTTTGTCATATTGAGACTAACAGCTAACAATTGCTACAGTTGGCCTTTAGTATTTTATTTGTCCTTTTGAGGTATTCAGAATAGGTGACAATGGCTTGCAGTTGAGAACATATGTAGAGAGACCCCTGTGGCTTATGGAAAAAGTTGCTCCATGCTGGTTGGGTGTTTGAAAAAAAAATACAACCAGAGGTCTTTTATGTTCCTTTTCTTAATGAATGCATGAATGTCAAAATGCACCAATGGCTCATTCAGGGGGCAAAGCCTAAGCAGCCCCTTCTTTAAGAACACATCCTGAGATGTAAAATACATTTGCTTAACAAATTAAAATAATGAGATAATTCAATTAGTTTCTTTAAAAAAAAAAGAAAGAAAAAAGGGGACATCAGGGGATTATTGTAATACAAGAACAGGTCATACAGCACAAAAGAGGGACAAACTGATTTGGAATAAGGTTAGAGTAGTAATGAAGGAATGTACATTGAATCATGGATTCCTTTTGTAAAGAAATTTACTTGAAACAATACTCTGTACATCATAGATTGCCTCTCTGGTAGAGCGGGTGTTGCACTTTGAATGAATAAACTAATTTGAGAAAAGGCGAGGGATCTTTAAAAGAAAGAGTTTTCTTCCTTCTGTGTGTGTGCTTATGGCAAGAATCTTTCTGAATTTACATTGCACTAGTCAGGGGTCTCCATTATCAGTTCTCAGGTCTGAGAATTACAGCACAGTAAATCTTTCAGCACCTGCAAACTCATTAAAGCCTGGAAGGTAAAAGGTTGGGTTTTTTTTAGGGTTTTTTTTTTTTGCATGGCCATCCTCATCAAAGCTGGTGAACTTCCTCAATTCATCTGAGATGAAGCACATGGTGGGAGGGGGAATTAAAAAAAGGCAAAGCTAGGGGGACTTTCCTCAAGATAAGTGAGAGGCAGCTGATTGTTTAGTAAGCATGTGTTGAATGCTTTCAGTGCACACACAAGGAAGAAAGGAAAAAAGAAGAAAACCCAGATATTGCAAACTTACTGCCAGTGAAGGAAATGAACATAGTGTTGTAGAAAAGAAAATTGACTATTTGTGGCCCCCAGTTTTAGCTGTTTCCCTGCATTACTCCTCTAAAGATACCCTACAGCTAAATATGAAAAACCTTCCACTCACACTCACTCGACTTCCAAATTAAAAACATTTTACAGGTTAGTAAATCTCCAGCTGAGGTGATGTAGCAAAGAACAGCTGTGAAGTAATTTTGATAATGATGAGAATAATAAGCACATGGCAAGGTTCAGGGCTTTGCTGTTGCAGCTTCAGTGCTCCTGAATAGATAAAAGTGATTAAATACTCCTGATTATCCCTGACCAATATGTAATGGATTTACAGCCCTTTCAATTAGTCAGTATTTGCTTAGGACTCATTATTTTGTCTTTGGTTAAGTAATCAGCCCAGAGACTCATGTTCTGTCTAATTCCTCTGAGCCAAGTGGGTACAGGGCACCTGACCTTTGAAATGGCCATAGCTGGGAGGCAAGAATATCCACTACTCCAGCAAAGACACTGGCTATTTTAGCTAATCCTGACCCCACAAGCCAGATCAATGTACCTTAGTTTGCTACTAATGTTCTTACATCAAAATGATGGTTTAGAAATGTTGATCTATTTCTCCCCACTTTAGCTGTTCTACCAGCAGAGCAGTTCCATACCATAAATAAAAGGGGTACCTTGTCCTGGAATCATGACACTAATGTCAGCTGCTATGAAAATGTCTAACTTTAGGAATTGCAAAGAAACCCTTATTTGAAGCCTATAATCTCTTTAGATGTTAGCCTAAACAGATTGGGTGGGAAACAAATTAACAGCAAGGGGGAAAAAAATCAGTGGATAATTTTACCATTTTCCATTATTTCCATATGACTAATATAGTACAAGAGAGCTCCTGGGTCTTCTTTAGAAATGTATTTTGATGCCTAAGTGAAGCTCTATTAGTCAACAGTACACCAACACATAAAACCCATTGCAAACAGGAAGATAAAGATGGATTGTTAATAAAAGTGTTGCTTTTTCACATATTTAATCTCTTTCCCCCAGAAGTGAATATGGCTAGCTTTTAAGTTAATGGACTTGAAGAACAGCTAAAAAAAGGTGCTTTAATCTGTATTTTACAGAACAGAGGAATTAGAGAACCTATAAGCCTTCCATATTGCTCATATAAACTAACATGACAAGCTTGCAAGCTGCTTGTCTGACTTCTCTTGCATCCTTCACTGTAAGTCAGAATACACAGACTGGGAAACTTGCATTCTTCCTCACATGCACACTTTTACGTAAACAGAGGCCAACAGTAATCCATTCTGGAGGGCAGAATCACCCATCCTTTGTCATTTATGTGTATTATAATCTAAATGCAAAATCCCCTTTTATCTTTAAAATCTTTCAAAACAGTTTTTATTACTGGAATATTGGAATTGCTGGAATGCAAAGCAAAATGGCTACCCTCTAGACTGGTATTGTCCTTGATAAGATCTTGTGTTGTATATTCAGATTCATAATTTGTCATGATTCCAAGAGCCAAGGTTTAAAAAAACCCAACCACCTCTAGAAAAAATACTAGCATTAACTAAGCCCTAATACCCTCCAGAAAATTTTGGGGGCAAATGATCTATAATAATGAATAAAACTTATTCAGCAGCTAAACAGGTATCTATTTTGTTTTTGGTCTCCACTTACTGTGAGATGCTGGAAAAGCCATGCTCTCATGATATTTGTTGCTACTTTGGGGAAAATGCCTCTTTTCTTCTGACGTTTTTTGTCCTTGTCTGGGTCGTCATCATCCCCTGTACCAGGTGAGGCTACACTGTTGTCTAAACCATCTCCTAAAAGAAAGAATAAAACAGAGGGAAGGATACATAATAATCAAGAAATAGAAACCAAAAAGTATAATTTATTAGTGGAACACTAATGCAACTTTATTTTGATTTGATAGAACACCAGGCACATGCATTTCCTCATTAAATACGAGTGCGAATACAAATATGCAAAAATTAGAAACCATGTCTCTCCAAATACTAATTTTGTGTCTCACACATGCACATATCATTAATTCAATTATAATTGTGTGCTTGACATAGTGCAATAGCTCTTTGTCAATTATAGGTTTCAATGTGGGAAAACCTGCCCCAAGAAAACCCATTCACTGTAAATGCATCCCTGCAACCATACTGAATGCATACTGTAGGTAATCAAGTTAAATGTTCTGTAGTCTATATATTCTAGGTCCTCTACATAGGTGACAGTAACTGTGTCACTGTTCAGTGCACATAACACACTGCTATCTCAGCCCCTCCCCATAACTATTACCTCACACACACACACACACACACACACACACACACACGCGCGCGCGCGCGCGCACACGCACACACGTACACCTTGTATGACCCTTCACATAGCAGTTGCATGGCATAAAAACTTTCACGTCTCTGCATCAGTGATTATTATCATTAAAAAAGAAAGATGCACATCAAGGTAGGGTGCTCACTTAATCAGAACTTTCCACCAACATCTTTCTCTTCTGTGCTTTTCCCTGGCATTAATTGTGCATTAGCAAAAATCATTTACTTTTAACAGTCATAGTTATTTTTTCTTGCCCTCCAGCAAAAATGCCTTGAAAGCCTGCCTGGAGGGCATCTAAATTATGTATCTGAAAAACTCTTCTGGCAAGGCATTGCAGGACCCCTACTTTCTTAAAATTCATACGAGCACGTCTTCCTGTTTTTGGGAAGGCATCAATCAAGAGCAGCAATATATGCCATATTCCTACATTAATATTTGAACTAATAACTTTAAAAAAAGGAAAGAAACAAGATCCGACTTGTGGCATAATCAAATGCAAAATAAATGAAGAATACTGGGACAGCACTGAGACTTTATAGATTGCTGTGTTTTCCTTACACATCATTAGCCCAGAGCCACACGAAAGAGGAAAACAGAGAAGTGGAGAGTTTATGCTCCCTGCTGGTGTTTAAGAAGCCGAGGTCCTGGAAGGACATCTGGGAATTGCGCTGAGACGGTGGTTTTTGTAATTTAAGAATAGACATTCATTAGCAGTAAATGCCATAAATCCCATGCTAAGTAAAAACCTTGTCCAAGAAAGCCTAAAACAATAAACTCTGTGCTCAATGTAGCCTGAGCTAGACGCTCCATAGCTTCCTGAGGAATGCTATAGATCCACGAGCTAATTCCTAGAGCCTCTTTCTAGCTCTTTAGTTCTACTAAAACAAATACATGACTGCTACATATAGACCATTTGCTTCAAAACTTTTATTTCAGCTTCATCTACCCCCCTGTGCCCACTCACCCTTCCTCCACTTCCTCCCCTCTGATAAAAATCAAACATCTCAGACTAGAGAAAGAGAAAAGCCACAGCAAAGAGCTGGCAGATTAATTTTATTGACATTTCCATTTTCACTGCAATGTGATACCCTCCATCACATGGAAGAGATGACCCTCACTATTTACAGACTGACAGGCCACTTCATTACAACCACCCTGCCCCAAGGCAGAGCAGTTCCCTTCCATCTGCCCAAACATCAGAGCAAGACCCTTAAGTCACTGCTCTCTTTTTCGTTCTGGCTTCTGTTAATGATAAATAAAGGTGAGTCAAATGGCAGCAAAATAATCAAAGGAGTGATGCCAGGTCCTATACATTGTAACAAAGCAATTACTTTCAAACTGTTGGATATTTAAAAAGAACTTCCTCCTGCCCCACCCTTACCTCTCTTGCGTGCACGCGCACGCGCACGCACACACACACACACACACACACACACACACACACACACACACTTTCCACTATGCCAAGGAACTGCTGCAAGGCAAATTCTCACAAACACTAATGGCTTCTGACTGCTCCTTGGCAACCCCAGCATTTTAACCTGGGTGGATGTGCTCTCCAAAATACAGACACTGGAGCTATCTCATCAGCTGTTCATGTGACACAGATGGAGAGTGGCTATTAGGAGCCAGGCAATGGGCCTTGGGGATCTGAGGTGCTGTACTGTAGCCTGAGGCAATTTTGAAAAGCAGTACCCGGAGTTGGGGGGAAAAAAATCCACACGGAAAGTGCAAGTTTGAAGTCAGTCAGTCTGTTTGTCTATATATCATGTAGATAAAGATATCTTTGTCTCCTTATGTAAAATCTATGTGTGTGTATGCATAGCATGCATGAAGATAGAAAACTTCCTTTTCTTCAATCTCTTCCTCCTTTTCTCAGTATAGAATGCTCACTACATGCATATATAAACACAGTCTCTGTTTCCCTTTATGTATACATACGTGGTCCTGTGTATGCTTGTGTTTCAACAGCAGAAGTCAGCAAAAGTCTTAAAGCATCATTTAAACCTGCAGCAGAGGTTGTGAATATATTTGTTTTAAAAGGCTAATAATAACCCAGGAGATGAAAATTCAGCTAAAGCTTGCATTGCCTTTAACTCAATCAGTGGTATAAGAGATGAGAGACAATGTTTCTTTAATCTCTTCCATCACTTCATGAAAGGAAATTTAAATATAGTATTTTCAAATTCATCAGTGAACATTCACTGTAATATTTGCATTTCTGCAATTTGTATGCATGTGTGTTTGTGTAGAGAACCTAAGCAAAACATATAAACTTAAGGTCCAAATCCTGCAAACTAATATCTTCAAAATGACTGTTCCCTTTAATAAACATTACTCCTAGTAGGAAAGGTTCACTGAATTAGGCCCTAACTGACTTGTGCATTTAGAATATAAAATTTTCTCCTTCAGTACTGAGGGAATGATTCCAGTTTCAGTTACTCCACTGTGAAACAGGAGTCACTCCAAAGGACTCAAAAGAATTACACCAGCAACAGATCAGAATCAGGTTTTAGAACTTTTAAACTCTATCAGACTAGATCAATTGTATGTTTAAAGTGGTTGTAAAAGCAGGAGCCATACTTTAATAATTTTCAATCCAGTTCTACCATTCTTGCTGCATGAATAGCCTCACTGAATAAGAATAAGAATAGTACAAGCAGGCCCTAACTGTTGGGATATTGTTACTTCACTGGTGTAACCCTGGATTTACACCAGTGAAACTCCAACTATATTTTGCCCCCCTGCCTTCTTGCCATATCACACAGCAGCAAAAAAACTGTGGAACTGATTGTTCACTGCCTTGCGCACTGTGTACTCATTTGCTCGTGTGCAAAGAGAGTACATAATGCATGATATGAGTGAAGAATTTAGAGTGCCCGGGTTTCAGGCTCGTTTTGCAGGTGTAAAAGACTGGACAGGATTCAAGCCAACAGAGAATTAGGCATGTTGCCATACTTGCTTAAAATCACATGCAAGATTTTAAAAAACTATTTAGTCGTCTCAGTAACCTCTGCAGAAGGGAAACAGAGCACAAAGGAAACTGTGCACAGAGTTCCTGAAAAATATCTACCCCAAGGTAGATATTTGTGGGAGTTTCATTCATTATGAATGTGTTTGTGGGAGTGTGTTTGTGGGAGTGTCATTCATTATGGAGGATGTTGGAGACATAGGGCTTGTCTACACAAGGAGTTAGTGCACTCTGAGAGACAGCATCTTAGGGTGAGAACAAGCATTTGTAGGATCCCTCCCATGTTTAGGTGAATTAGTTTAAGTTGCCTAAACCTGAGTTGGAATTTCCATGTGCAAATGTTAGCTGCTTGCCAGGAGGAGGTGTGGGAAGTTGGAAGTGAGTAAGGTGGGTGTGAGAGAGGGCTGGTGGATCTGGGGGGTGGTCTGTGGGTCTGTGGTAGGGGCCGCCTGGTCTGGGGGGATGGACTTATCAGGGGGCAGGGGTAAAAATAATCTGGCCAGGGTTGGGGGAGGGAGGTTAAAAATAGCATAGCCCTGGGGCTGAGTAGAATGGCTATTTTGGAAATGTATGCAAGCGGTCATTAAGCTGGGCTAACCCCATGCAGATCTAAAGTTAGTTCTTGTTCAATTAAAACTAACTTTAGTTGGGGTGTGTCATTTTTTGGGTGTCCTAAGCCTTGCAAATTCTTACACACCCAGGCATTCGGATAGTCCTAAACTTGTATGTACCCACGGGCTTAGTTGGCTAACATTGTATCGCCTGTGACCTAGTTGCGTTCCCCTCCTCACCCCCATCCTTCTATTGTTAGTCCCTCGTTCGGGCACCATGTATTTCCCTACCAGCTTACCTACCGGGTACTATGGAGAACCCATAGTACTCCATAGTAACACCCCATGTGGACACTCCTGGTACATATTAAAAGCATCTACACTGTGTATTAGTAAGAAGTGGCTAGGGTGCTGTAAATCGTACCCTCTATTATAGTGCATTAACTACAACATGTAGTCAAGACCATTGCCCATTGACATCTCCTCAGGGAACAGAGATCTTGATCCTATTGAGGGGCTGCCCAACTACACTGTAGTCCATGATCCTCATCTTGGCATATAGCTTATAAGGGCCAATGCTGTTAATATTCTCCCACTCCTAGTTCCTCTATAAAGGAAGAACAGGGCAAAGATTCAGTGCTGCTTGGAGGGCTTTTCATGTGGCATCTTCACAGAATTTCTTCAGTGAACATGGAAGAAACTGAATTTTCACTTTAAGGAAAAGAATAAGCCACATGGATAACTTGTTCATGCCAAAGTACAAAAGCTTGATAACAGTACAGATCCAATGTCTGGAGTTTTGGAAATGAAAAAGCAAATTGTATGTATATGGTGCAATGCAAATATAGATTTTTTTAAAAACCTTATTCAAGGCCTCATGCATTTTAATGAAGTGTCTGTGTACAAAACATGTGTGGGAATGTGCATGTGAACCCACATTTGCATCAGCAATTATCTA